GTTTTCACAATGTCCTATCTGCTTAAGAAAATCATAGCAGATAGGACATTGTGAAAACGACGCTTTGTAGATAGGATATTTTGAAAACGACGCTCCGTAGATAGAATATTGTTGTTAGGACGCGTCGTGCCTTTCCCACGCGTAAAACACCGTCCACACAGGAACGGGTGAAATAATGGGTTTTTGTTTCTTCTCCTTGAAGGTGAGGGCTGAGGGCGCTGGTGTCCGTCAACAGGCGAGCGATCCCACCTCTCCCCAGGACCTGGCACCGGTGTCACCCGGGTGACACCCGGGTGTCACCCCGCGGGGCCAAAGTGCAGCGGCGGCTCCGTCGACGCCGTGGCCCCGCTCTCCCTCGTCACCGCTGTTAATTTGTCTCCCTCAGCAGTCACACGTGAGCCTCGGGCGTGCCTCCGTGGGTGGTTCAAGGGCATAGGACTATATAATTCTCATAATTTCGGAAATTGTCAAAACGAGTGAACGAGAGAAACTTGCACACTATGACCATGCAGACATTTTTGTAACTACCTGAGGACGATTTGAAATGTAACTAAGCTAGAAACAAATTTGTGGTGTTAGTTACAATAATTAGTAACTAACCACCCACAAAATTTTAACTTATTAGTTTTGTTTAAAAACGTCCATAGGTTGACACAAAATTGTCCTTGGTCATTTAGAGTGTGTTAGTTTAAATGAGGGGCCATACCGAAAATGTGTTGTGTATCAGCATTTGATTTTAGTCCCTTTTTCAAGCCCCTGTTTCAGCTAACTTCTTCTTCAATTTCAACTTCAAAAAGGGTTATAACGACAACACAGCCCTGTAAATTACAGTTTTTGTCCATGACAAACCTGCATCTCCTGCTGGTGGACAAACTTTTGTTTCATCCAACTGAAGATTCGTGGAAAAGCTTCTCAGCAAAAATGTTTTTGGTAACACACCCACACACAAGAGGGGACTTCTCTAACAAAAAGACCAAAAACACAAAACAAGCAGGAAGTCAGCTCGCGAAAGTTTCCTACTCACCACACGCAATGTCATTTGTCAGGAAAATTTGGTGGTGCCGGGGCGTCGTCTCAGCGCCAGAGGGGCCTAAGTAACGAAATCTGTTCGAGAGGGGGTGGCTCAGACCGGTGAGAGGGTAAGGCGTAGCAGAGCTCCAGACGGGCTCCAGGGGCTGTTCATTTTGTTTTTTCTTCTTCTTTTTTCAGTGGTGCCTTCACGTTTGAAGCTGTAGGACAGAGACTCTCCTTCCGGCCTGCTGCAGTGGCAGTAGATAGCCCCCTCCCCCTCTCCCGTTTATTCACGCATCACATTCATAACTTCCGCCGTTGTTTTGTTTGGCTTCCCGCGTTGGAAGGATTTCGGAGAAAAAGATCGCGTATGAGAGAGAGAGAGAGAGAGAGAGAGAGAGAGAGAGAGAGAGAGAGAGAGCATCAATAAACAGAGTTGTCGATGACGATTTCCTTTTCCGCGGCTTTGATGTTGCGCTTCCCCCGGTCGCCTCGGCGCTGCCCTGGTCGCCATCTATAGGATGTGTATACGAACGCCATAACGGCCCGGCGCGGAAAACTATCGGGAAAACAACGGCGCCACGCCGCCGTCCTGTGTGGCGTGAGGGGGTGGGGCAGCAGCACAGACAAAACAGACCTCTAAACCTATCGAAATGAAGAAGGTATATGGGCGCTCCAGCAGAAAGAGGACCAGCGAGATAGGGGAGAAAATAATAACAACAATTGGCGTTGTGATAGTCAAATTGAGCAGCATAACCCAAATCAGGTCGCTGCGCGCAAAATCTTCTACCACCCCTTTCCCTGAACCCGGCGCCTCCACTCTCTCTCTCTCTCTTTCTCTCTCTCTCTCTCTCTCCCTCCCTCTTTCATATACGTGGGGATGTCGCATAGCGGAGGGAGTGGGGTAATGGGGTTCGCGAAACGCGTGCATCAAATCGTTTCCAAACATGAATGCGAAAAGAGAAGAGATCTCATTCGATTGATCGGTATCGGATTACGATAATAGAGCTATACACGAGGCAGTAGACACACACACATGCACACAAACACACACACACACCATTGCCATAAATTCGCAGGTTGAATCATCTCTCCTTTTGCATGTCTGTGAAAAAGTGACAAAGAGTGTATAAGCGGCAGAGGGTGTGCCTCCTCCCCCACCCTTTCCCTAGCGGAAGTAGGGCAGTAGAAGGCCCCCTCCTTCCACCCGACCACCACCCGGCCGGAGCCTTAGGACACAAGTGTGTTGACTTGCCGCGCTGCCCTTCTCGTCGAGCTCCGTACGCTCCCATGCCCCGCTCTGCACCAGCGAGGCAGCCCAGCAGCTCCACCCTTGTGGTGCCGTTCTGCTCGGCAACACAGAGTGTGTAGTTTCCCCGCAACAAGAAAGCACACTGGGGATGTTAAAATATTGATGACGAACAACAAGGCAAGCCCCGAGCGCGGATCGCCAACAACAACAACATTAACAACAACAACATTAGCATCGGGTACTAACTGCGAGACCAGGCAGACTAAAATAAAAACAAGGGGTCAATTGAGCCAGGTATGCAAAACTGATCATTGCACTTTGCAGTTATTTTCGGCCCACATGAGCGGTTAAAATTGCCAATGCGTCTCACGCACTCCTCTAAAATGGCATTGACAAACAAGCGAAAAGTGCAAAAAAAAAAAAGAAAAAATGAAAAAGAAAAAAAATATGTATGATATATTTTGTTTTCCTCGTCCTTCTAAGTTTTTACCATTATTATTTCCCCTGCTGTGCCCCGCCCACCCACGCTCGCTCATTACCGCACAGTGCGCTGCTCGCGGGGCTCTCTCCTTGTCGCCCATTCAGACCTCGAATCCTTATAATTTCCATTCCCAGGTTTTGCTTCTTAGGGGGCGGTGGATTGATGGATTTCCCTCTTTCTTTGAGGCTGTACCATTCTTTCCCTTCTGCAGAGGAGCGACCGGGGCAGGAGGGGCAGGGGAGGAGGCAAGCAGCCACCCCCGCCCCTGTGATAGAGTGCGTGGCGGGGCGGAGAGTGGTGGGTCCGGGCAGCATGCAAATACAGACCCCCCTCCTCCCCTGACCCCCATTCCCCGTGCCTACTCCTTGGCTTAGAAAAAAGGGAAAATTGTAAGAACTGCATAAAAATGAAAATTGCTTTCGCCTGCTGGTCCCCCAGGCTCTCTCTCTCTCTCTCTCTCCCTCTCTCTGTGTTGTGCTATTGGCATGCGGCGGCTCAATGTCAGTCGTTCCCTTGTCGCTGCTACACTTTGTTTCCATCTTATTATTTTACATACATTTTTCTTTGACATGCTCTCGCTCCTGCTGTGTTATTTGTTTGCTGCTCTGAAACGGCGCAGGTCGACGTAGAGGCGTCGTTATAAAATTTTAAAAAAATGTAAAATAACTCGCAAAGTCGTGTGTACCAAACTGTTAAAATTCCAAACTCTGAAAGAGGCACGTCCGAGCGCAGCGAAATGCTAACTACTAAATGGCGATTGCCGCGAGCATCACGTCTGTGTGCACATCAACTTTATTCATAAACGTATGCGCGCCTACTCCGTGCTGTTTCGCCTCTCCAAACTGGCAGATCAGATCGAGGTAAAAGAGCGTTTGGAAAGTGTTGCGCACATCGACAGGTCCGCTGCTGCCGTGATTATACGAGCTTGGCGCCTCCCCCCTTCTCCCCTCCCCCTCTCTCTCTCTGTGTCTCTCTCTCCCTCTCTCCCTGTCTCCCTCCCTCCCTCTCTC